AGCGAGGAGGGCACCGTGTCGGCGCACGTCGCGTGGGAGGTGAAGAGCGTGTGCGCCGAAATCGTCACGCACTTCTTCTACACGGAGCACAAGCACATCACGCGGATGGTTCTGTACTTCAAGAGCGACGCGAGGGACCGGCTGTGGCTCCTGTGGTGCGGCTCGCTGCGTGTGGCGGACCGCAACTCGGCGAGCGAGATGCCGGTGAACCTTGCGCCGAGGTTTGGTGAGCCGGCGCCTGAGGGCGAACTGGACGAGGATGAGGTGCTGCGCACTGCCGACAGGGCGTACTTCCTTGTGACCCGCGACGAGTTCTTTCACGGGACGTACATGCGTGGCAATGGCCCGCTGGCAACGGACGCGGCGCGCCCGGGGGAGTCGCGGACGCAGGCGTCGGTGACATCGGGAGGGCGGGGGGCGGGTGAGGGCGGGGACGCGACGGTGCCGAGGGGCGACGAAGACGGGGATGACGTGCCGGCGGAGCTGAGGGTCTCTATGGAGCGGCTGCATGTGCAGGAGGAATTGGTGCTGGATGCTTTCCGCGATGTCTTCTACAGGGCGTACAGTCACTTCCTCAGCGGAGACGCCGCGCCCTTTGAGCTGCGGGTGCCCCCGCACGTGGTGAATGTTCTCACGGAGGGCTGCGTGGCGGACCTCATGTGGGTGCTGAAGCTGCGTGCGGTTCCCTGCGCGGGTGGGGAGAGCGGGGGGGCGGGGGAGGGCGCGATGGTGTACACGATCCCGCCGCTCCACCGGACGCCTCTGACGCAGCTGGGCGACACTGCGGCGAACTGGATCAGGGAGCACTTTGCTTCTCGCTGGGAGGCGCTGAGGCGGGGTGTCATTGCCGGCGGCGTGCCATCGTGCGTGCCGTCCGCTGGTGCTGCTGCGGAGCAGGTGGAGCGGCGGGTCGGGGACGGCCAGGGCGCGGACTCTCGGACGGCAGCCGATGCAACTGGAGCCTGTGGCGGCACCGTGGACCCCTGTGACACTGCGCGGGAGCTGTGAGCGGGCGTCCGTGGCAGTGGTCGGCGTCGGCTGTTGCCCTTTGCGAGTGCCTGGGCTGCGAGGGATGCGAAGCAGAGGCATCGCTGCTGCGGTGGGGCCGTGAGGAATCGGGCTGCGCCGCGTGTTCCCCGCTGTGCTGCATGCGCTCTTGTGCCTCCTCCTTCCGGGGGTGGTAGTGATGTCCCGGTTGTGCGTGTGTGAGTGCACCGAGGCTGCTTGCGTACCGGGTGCCTTGCTTCTGACTGCTGCTCCCCGCCGTCTCTTCGCTGCGCTCCTGAAGAGGGCGCGAGTGTGTTGACGCCGGAGCGCGGCCGAGTGGTGGCTGTGCGTGTTGGGTGCACTGCATGCTGGCTGTCCAGCTGCCGTGGGAAGGATGCAGACAGCCGCGCGGCACGCGCAGGCGACGTCGCCGTGATGTATTGCATAGTAGTGTGGGGCGACCGCGACGTTGTGAGGGACGATGTACATAACCACCCACACCGTTGTTTGTGCTGGACTGTCTCCACATGTGTTTGGCGGCACTTTTGTCGTTGACGCTCATTTGTTCTCTGCTGCACTTGCGGACACGGCTGATTCCTTTCCTTTCCTCTGTGCACCTTTTTCTTCCCTTCTTTGTTTCCCCTGCAGGAAGCCACAACCTACACAGCAAGGCAGTTTTAGGGCAACGGGCATGGCGGTGGGATGGGTGGCGGTGTGGCCGCGAGGGCGACGTGCTTGTGCGGCGGCGCGGTGCCTTTTGTTGCCCTGCTGCTGCTGTTTGACCCGCAGGTAGCGGTTTCCAAACCATTTGCCTGTGAGACCAGTGTGAAGGTTTTTATGCTGAGTGTGACGGGCCTCCCAATTGACCAGAAATTGGTGGATTCACTTGAGGCTGGGCTAGAGGCGGCACTCTGGTCGCGCAACTTCACTGTTGCTGACGCTGTTTATGTGGAGATTATCAGGAAGGTCTCCACAATGCAAACGAGTGGAGCGGTGATAGGAAAAGCGTTGAATGAAAGCAGTTATATTCTTCTTGTGGCAGGCGCTATTGGCGATACGATGTTTGCGAACTCTCTGACCGTAACTATGCGGCATGGCCTTGTCTTGTTTGCCCCGTTCACTGGGTCGAGTTTGGTGCGTGGGTGGAAACCCAAGTTTTACTTTTTGCGTGCTGACCCAGCAGCCGAGCTGCTGGCACTCCTCCGCTACGCCTTGGCCCATCTGCGTGTGCGTCGGCTGGGCTTCATGTACATGGAGGGTGAATATTTTGGTGGTATTGAGTATGAGCTGGCAGAACGTTCGATGTCGGGGATGGGCTACGAGCTGAGCGGTGTCTTCAGTGTGGAGGGCTCTGTGACCGGTGGTGCGAGGAAGGAAGTGTTTGACGCCGCGTGGGAGGCGTTTGCTGACACCCAGCCGCAGGCTGTGATTGTGTTTGGGTCACCGACAAATGATGCCGTGAAGTTTGTTATGAGGATGCTGGCGGGCAAGCGTACTTCTGGCGCGTACCTGCTTGGTTCCTCGGTGCTGCAGGACCTTGTTTTGAGGGTGTGGCGTGCTGCTGTGGCTGGCGGTGTTGAGTTTGTGACTGGGCAGGTGATCACGACTGGGACGAACCCACTGGCGAAGGACACACAGTGCGAGGCCATCCGGCGTTTCCAGGAGTTGATGCGGGTATATCTGGAGAAAAGCGGCCAAAAGTACTATACCGACAAGGATTCTTTTTTTATTCATGACGACGAGGGCGATATGATGGTTGCTAGGTGGATTTCTGGCGAGGTGCTCTCACAGGCGCTGGGCGGTCGTGAATGGGTGAGGGACCGCACGTCGTTCTTGGCGTCTCTGTACAAACAACGCCGGTAGTTTTTGACGACATTGTGATTGGCGAATACGGTTTTGAGTGCGAAACGAGGGCTGCGTCGCAGGGCGCCACGTGCCTCTGCAACCAGGGCGGTCGGACCGTACATAAACGGAATTATGGAGAGGTTCCGTTCTGAGGATGTGGCTGAGGGTGCATTCACACTGAATTTGGATGAATGTGGCGCCTCTCTTATAGAGTTGCATGCACCCTTGAATGGGTTGGCTTTCATGATGCAGGATGCTGTGGTTGCGCAACTGGCTATGGGTAGCACGTTGGCTGGTTCGGACGCCGCAAAGGCGCCCCAGGATGATCATGATGGCACTACTGTTAATTTCCGCACTCTCAGTACTTCGGCTGCTGGGGCAATAGATGCTTTGCTGTCCGAGATGAGTGCACGGCGGGTTCACTTTGTGAGCGGTGTGGTGACGGATGCGATGCTGGACGTGGAGGGTGTGACCATCATTGACCCGCTGCCTCTTGAGCCGCGGCTGAACAGGTTCCAGAGAAACATGATCCGCCTGTCGCTGACGCTGGAGCAGCAGTTTTTCTTGCTTGCGGAGTACCTCGGGAACACGAGTGGCGGCTGCGCGCACGGAGTGATCGGCAGCGGGGAGGCTGCTGCGCTCGCTGTTGACGTTTGGCGTGTCGCTGGCTTCTGCGACGCGCTGGTGGACCACCTGTGGTGGAGGGGGCGTTGTGTTTGTGGTGGGCCTTTCAGCTGGCGGTGCCGGTGGGATTGCGCGGCACGTGGCGTCGCACGGCGTTGTGCGCGTGCTTGTCGTGTTCTCGGAGTTTTCACTCCTGCACGCTGAGCTTGTTGCTGCGTTCCGTGCCGGTGCGGGTGTGGACTGTGTTGTGTTTGCGACGAGTCTGCCGCACTGGAACGACGAGGATCCAGAGTCGGAAACCGCCAAGAATTTTGCTGCCGCTGTGCCGAGGGAGGAATACCGGACGCCGCTGTCACTGATGGGCTTTGCGGCCACGCGGCTGGTGCATACTGCTCTTTCGCGAATGTACCATGTGAGCGCTGAGCTGCTGGCTGGCCTCTTCTACAATAATGTTGTTGTCGCCCTGGAAGGCATGCTGTACGGACCCTTCGCTGATGGCAGGGCGTGACCTGCTACTGAGGGCGGTGCTGGATGCGGCAGGAACTACGGCGCGGCTCACATTTCTGTGTGGCCGCTTGCCTGTGCGCTGGACCCCCCTGTGCCGGTGCTGTTCCCTGCCGTGGCACCGTTGATAAAGGACACGGATCCCGCTGCGTGTGGAATGACGGCGCGGCGGCTGATCGACGTCATTGCCGGCGGCGCTGCTCTGCTGCTTGTTGCTGTGCTGCTGTACTTCTGCCACAGCTTGCGTGACAACGCGAACGCGCCGAAGGAGCGGCTGCACCCCGTGACGATTGTGTTCACAGACATCGAGAGCAGCACTTTGCTGTGGGCTGAGTGCCCCGAGGTGATGCCCGACGCCGTGGCGACGCACCACCACCTGATCCGCTCGCTGATGGCGAGGTACCACTGCTACGAGTTGAAGACGATTGGCGACTCGTTCATGATTGCGTGCAAGAGAGTGTTCGCCGCCGTGCAGATTGTGCGTGAGCCGCAGCGGGTGTTCCTGCAGCAGGACTGGGGGACGAGCGTGATCGACGACGCGTACCACATGTTTGAGGGGGGCCGTGCTGGGGAGGACGGGGAGTACGAGCCGCCGACCGCGCGCCTGAACGCTGCTGTGTACCGGCAGTACTGGGGCGGCCTGCGCGTGCGCGTCGGAGTTTGCACCGGGCTGTGTGACATCCGGCGCGACGAGGTGACGAAGGGGTTCGACTGCTACGGCGAAACGTCGAACACGGCTGCGCGCACGGAAAGCGTTGGGAACGGCGGGCAGTTGCTGCTGACGCGTGCGGCGTACCTTGCACTGTGGCACTGCGCGGCGTGCCGAAGCCCGTGGAGGTGACTGCGCTGGGTGCCGTTCCCGGGCGCACCTTTGCCGCACTGCGCCTTGACCATGAGGTGCCTGATCTTGACTATGAGAGTGATTTGACAAGTGGTGATGGCTCTGTATCCACTGAGCGGAGCGGCGCCTCAGGCTACATTGCGTCCGTGCTGGCTGTACTGTTTGGCACCCTTGCAGCTCCGCAGCGACTGAAGGCGCTGCTCCCTTTGTGCCACCGCTGGAGTGTCCGAATGCCGAGAGGGGCCGGAGCAGGGTGTGACCAGGACGCCTGCCGTGTGGTGATTGGGCGGCTTGCGGCGAAGGTGTGCGGTGTGATTAAAAAACGTGTTTCTGGAGCCTCAATTGAATGGGGACTGCGCACAATGAGTTTGTCAGAAGGTGCCTTTATTGGGAGCACAGGCGCGTTGCGGTTGCGTAGGTTTTCTGTTGGGAGAGCCGGGCCGCTCGGGGAGTTACATCGGCGAAGTGGCTTGCGCCAGGCGTCCTTGTCCACGGCGGAGGGGGTGTGGTGGGTGGAGGAGGACCCGGTTGCCACCATTCAAGGTCGCCGGCGTGTGTAAAATGTGCTTCGCTGTGGCAGCGAATGGTGTGTGAGCGTTGAGGTCGCGAGCTGTAATTGATGATTGTGTGAGTGTAGGCAATAACGGTGTGGGCTTCTGTTAAGAGCTGTTTTTGTGTTTTTGAAATTTTGTGAAAGGATGCTCGCGATAGGGCTGGCTGCCCAATTTAATGTACATCCTGATAAGTGGAATATATTTCCTTACGGCTACTCTCTATCCTATGGATCTTTGGTTTGCCGCGATGGAAGGAACAAAGTAGCCGATAAGAACAAGACGCATTTAATTTGCTTTTATTTTTTGCCATCCAACCCGCCTCCTTTTGATGCTTTTCTTGCGGCGTGGTTTTGTGGCTGGTAGACGTCTGAAGCCTGCCACTTTGTGTGTAGTAAATATCACTAATTTGAATAGGGTGCAGCATGTCACTACGGTGGCCACCCGAATATAATATTTATATTGAGAAAACATCGAGGCCGTGGCGAACCCACTGCCAATTCATTGCTTTATTTCTTTCTAGTCCTGTTTTTTTCATTTATATGACAGTTAGGGAACCGGCCAGCAGTCCAGGCAAATATTTGATTTTGTAATAACTTTTTTTTTGTGGGTGGTTCCATCTTGTGTCGCTCCCTCCTTATCTATTAATTCCATAGTGCTTTATTTCCTTGTTATTTGTTTTGCTATAAACTCTGCACGCAAATGTGCGCCATGTATGCTGAGGGGTTGTGTTTTTGTTCTTGGGTTGGGGGGATACGTGGAGGTGTGCGCTGTGTGCGGGTTGGCTGTGGGCACTGAGCGGCATTGTGATTGTGATGACGGCTCTCTTCCGGGATGTTGTATGTAGGCTTGATTGTTTTATTTATTTCCTGGTGGAGTTGCAGGTAAATGCATGCTGAAGTGCAACCAAGAAGCTCCAAACATGCGGGTATTTTGCGGCAACGGTGGATCTTACCGTCGACAGTCGTGGTGCACCTGTGTGGTGGTGGCGGTTTTTTTTTTTTTTTTTGAAAAATGTTATTAGTGGTTAAGCTTCAGCTGAAGTGTTAATTTGTATGTGTTTTTGGGTTTGTTGTTGGTCACGCTTTGCGTCAGGCGCTTCTGCTGCGGTTGCCACTTTCCCCACATTTCCCATTTTGTTTCTTGTCAATTTTTCTTATTTTTTTGTTGTGTGCCGTGCAGGTATTGGTAGGAAGAGCGGATGTTTTTTGACGACGACAACGAGGTGAATGATGGCTCGGAGGGAGCGCGGTCGCCGAGCAGCGGGGCGTCGAGCGTGTGCGACGTGCCGCTGCCGCCGCTGCCGCCGCCAGCGCCGCCGTCAAGCATCTACGGCATGGCCACGGACGAGATCTACAGCATCATCAAGGAGCTGCGGCGGCAAATCGACGACCCCGCGACCCACCAGGACATCAAGGCGATGCTGAAGAAGGAGCCGTCTGTCTTGTTGGCTGTTGCCCGCGTGCTGCACGAGTCGGCACTGCTGCGGCGCACGGTTGTGAATGTGGACGGCCGGGTGGAGGAGCAGCTGGTGCCTCTCCCAGAAGCCCCCACTCCGCCGCTGCCTTCGGGGTGGAGCAGCTGGGCATGAGATCATTCTTACCGCATGAGTAGACACGCGATTTTTTTTGTGTTGTGTTGTTGGTCTCTGCAGCAGTGCGCGGCGGTGAACATTTGCCTTTTTTTTCTGTTTTCTGTTTGTTGAGCGTAGAGCTGGTTCCTAAAGGGGCGGGTGGCGCCATGACCGTGACGGAGCAAAGGTTGGCGCGGCCGGCGATAGGAGAGCTGCGCGTGACTGCGGCGACGAGGGTTCATGAGCGGACGGTCGTCACGCTCGAACCGCAGGCGGAGGAGGAGGGCGCCGAACAGCCTCGAGCAGACGTGTTTGGGACAGAGCTGTAGCCGGGTGTTGCCGCGCCCACCCCTGTTCTCGTGGCGTACTACGACACAGGGTGCAACGCGACAATCGCCCGCTTTGAATCTGACATGGACACTCACCTGGGTGTTTTGCGTGTCGGGGCGCGACGGGGTGGTGAAAACGCGGTGGGGCCCGTGTCATGTTTGTTGCCAAGTTTTGTGCTGCGGGGACAAGCACATTGGTCCTGACGCCAACGAAGGGCGCTGTTTTTCTTGGATATCAACCGCTTTTCTTGATTCCGCGGTGGAGGCACCACGCTTTGGTTGACCCGGCGTTGTATCCTTGTATGCGATGCAGCACACCATGGACGTTGAGGAGGAGATGTGCTTTGCTCCTGCCATTCACTGCTTTCAGGGCATTTGGAAACATGACGATCCCTTGTTTTTCATTCATGGTCTGCGTCAGCTGATGCGGCTAGCCACAGAGCGCGTGGCCCGCAGCTATCGTTACCGCGTGGGTGGCATGTTTGTGGACTATTGGATGCTTTATCGGTCCCTTGTGGAGGAGGCAGAGACATGGGAGTGCTCGGAGGAGAGACTGGAAGAACGCCGAAAGACAAAACCTCTGGACATCTTGGCTGAAACCATTGCCGTGGCTGAAATCGATCATCTGCTTGTGCTGGGGAGTGCTTGGCTTTGTTTCAAGATAGCGCAGCGGGTGCATGCACGTGTTGGAGGGTCTCGGATGAAGCCGTTTGTGATGCCCTCCGCCGTTGTGTGCAGTAACGACTCGAGCGTCCACCTCTTTCTTGTGGAAATTCCGATGGACCACTTAATAACCGACGAAACAGAGCTTGCAACGGAGAAGCGCCGTGTCAGCGAAGAGGCTGTAGCGACACACAGCCATTGTTTTTGGTTACTCGCAACAGATGGCGGTGTTGGCATTCCCACGTCAGTCGGGGTTGGTATGCTGCTCTCATCCCTTCATTCATCGCGGATAATGGCGAAATTAGGTTTCAACCGCGGCAAACGCCCATGTAGCCGCAGGACGGAATCCCGTGCGCCGCTCCTGGCCCTGGAAAGGCTGATTATCCCCCGTATCTAGCACACACAAGACCCTGCTTGTGGTGACACACAGCCAGGCCATTCTGGCTGCTCTAAACAAGGGCCCGCTCAGTCGGACCGGCTGGACGGAGGATCAGATCTGGCAGCGTCTCTTGACACTAACAAGTGCCGGCTGGTCCGTGCAGCTGCAGTCTTGTTGCGGGCATTGTGGAGCACATGTTAACGAGCCTGCAGATTAGCATGCGACGCAGACCATTGCAAGCGGACAACACACGGAGCATTGAATAGCACCCATATGGCACACGGACCTGCTGACATGCTTTACTACCCAACTCGTCAAAGCGTGGCGTAGTACCATGCGTCAGGACACCCTCCGCTACTTGCTGTGCAGCGCCAGGCCCTCAGATCCAGGCGGCGAGCACCTGATCACTCAGGAATTTGTTGACTGACAGGAACGGATTCACCTTGCACGAGCAGGATACTGGGAATGTGAGCTCCGTGGTCGCCCGTACTGGAGTGTGAGAGATTGCACAAACCAATGCCGATCCCGCAACTTCTCACCAGAACCGTCTGCTTCCAGAATGTCTAGGCACCTTGGCTGTGAGCCGAACGCCGAACATTGAACAGGACCTCCGCACCGAAAAGCTCTCTTAACGGCAGGTGCCTCATAGCAGGAAGCTTATGTCGCTGCTCGACCACCTCTTCGGCAGTCAGATGGCATTGTGTAGCTAGACGTGGAGGTCAGAGTAGGAAGAAAAAAATGGATTGGTGGGCGTTTTGCTTTGTTAAATGGGTCTATTCGATGATGAAATGTTTTTTTTTTTGTTGCGTTGTTTCATTATTACTTTTGAATGGAATGGTAATAACTGGGCCGCCCGAAGTGTGGCGTCCCCCGAATGATCATAGATTTTCTATTCTGTCCTCATTTGTATCATAATGGTGGCGTTGTTGCCCTTTGTTTTCTTGCTGGTGCTTCGCTGAGTGTTTGGAATGATGATGGATCATACCATCTTTACGCCTCTCCCAGTGTTTCTTTTGCCCCGAGTCCACACCCCACCATTGCCTCTTTGATTTCCTTTGACTCAATGGTCTACTAGTTGTTGTGAGGGCATGTTCAAACCTGGACAGGCATCTGCGGGAACTGGATTTGCGGCCGCGCCAGCAGCGACTGCGGGGAAAAGTGCTTCTTCTGGCTTTGGTGGGTTCGGCGCAAACACCGTCACGACGGGTGGGTTTGGCGGGAATTCCACCGTTGGATTTAGCGGATTTGGTGCTGCCAAGGGCTTCGGCACTGCAGCGGCTATTGGGGGCCAGGCGCAGGTGCCCTCGTACAAGGGCATAAAGGGTCCGGGCTTCTCCACCGACTGGGCGCGGAGTGTCAATTTCTCCACTTTTCGTGATGATGTATTGTTTGAAGAGTTGCCTCCGCCATTGCAGCAGCACTTAATGGAGCTGCACAACTTCATTCAGGCGGAGCACGACGCAAAGCGATTTGTTGAGAGTTTCTTGACAGACTCAATAGGAACCAGTGCCGGTGATTCTTCAAGCTATATGGAACTGCAGAAGAAACTTGTTCAGCTCACGGCAGGTGATAATGCCGTGGATGCGATTCGCGTGGACTGCTTTGAGCGGGAGGTTCAGGGGCAACATCTCGGCATGCTGTTGGAGAACTGTGAGGAGGACGTTGTTCAGTACTCAAAGCACGTCTGGGAGCCATTGGCGGAACAGGACTTTACGCAGCGGTTGGGTGGTAATCGAGCAGAGCTTCCCTCCGAGCCTTTTCAGTGCTGTCTTCGCGAAGTTCAGACTCGGATGGAAGAGATGTCTGCGGTCCTGACGGAATTAGAGCTCGCTGTTTTGCCCAACGCTCAACGACAGAAGCGCACGACGAATAATGACAAAAACACGTCCAATACAACTAATACAGAACCTTCGGCATCACATTTTTCACGATACACTGCAGAGATGAAGCCACTCGATACTGCGACCGGGCTACGGCCTACAATAGCTTCCCATCCGGTCGTTCAAATGAACACGACTCTCAGCAATGAGTTGGCCACCCTCCTGAATTTGGCTGCGTGGACTTCGCGACTGCATGCAAGGGCAGATGCCGCCCGGGATCTCTTTGTCCATTTGTATGGATCTTCTGAAGCCGAGGTGTTGCTTGCCCAGCAACAGTGGCAGATGCCCGTGGGGCCCAAAAGGCCATTTCCTTTGCGCTCAGCTGAAGCATCTTCTTTTTCAGAACCTAACCACGATACAATTGGGGACATTCATAGACGTTCTGTCGGTCTGGATCGCTTGGGTGCCCTTAGCAATGGGGAGCGAAGAATGCAATACGATGTGTTACTTGAGCGTCAGCGACAGGATTCCGCCCCGGCGTCTGTTGGTACCAACACCACTGGGTTTGCTGCCCCTGTTGCCCCTGCCGCAGCTGTTGCTGCCACTGCTTCAGCTGTTCCTACTTTGGCAGGGACAACCGCAGGCACAACCACAACCACAGCTAGCACTGCTGCTGCTGGTTTTGGCGCGTCAGCTCCACCTGCGACTGGAACTGGGGGTACGACTGCATTTGGGGCTCCGCTCGGTACGGCTAGCTCTACCAGGACTGCAAATAAAAAGGGCCGTGTATGATGTTGTTTAGCGAATAGAAAGGGGTGATGTTCTCTTACCCTCCCCACCCCACTAAATTACACCATTAGCGACCGTAATACCAGAGGAATTGTTGGTTTTTCTTCGTGCGCTTTTATTTATTTTTATTTACTCTTGCTTGGATGTGTTACGTCCTTTTATTATTATTATTTTTATTCTTGGAAATTTGCGACATTCCCGTGCCCTTCTTTTTCTTTTCGTTTTACGCTTAAAAAAAAAAAATAAAACAAACACACGCGTGTGGTTTTGTTTTGTGCGTTCGTGTCGCAATTTGACGGCTGTTTCTTTTCAAGGCGGGAATGACGATGGGGCGTTTGGCCTTTTCCACGAGTTGCCTAAGACGACGCGCGACGGGCGGCCTGACTGTGAAGAGTCTTGACCGCTTTGAGAGCGACGTCCCGATTGTTCTCCAGCGCCTCCCGCCACCGCCACCATCATCGTCAGCGGCGGAGATGCCTCAAGGAGGCACATACAAAACCTTTCGTCGCTCGGCGTACGCGGTACTCAGGAATCGCAACACCTCCCCGGGCGTCTGTGCGAAAAACCTTCTCTCTCCCAAGGAAATTCTCTCCACGCCAAATAGAAACCGCTGCTGCTGTGCCGCACTACTCTACCGCGTGACCGAGCAGGAGCCGGAAAACTCCTCTTTTGCCGTTTCTCGCAGCGAGGAGGATCGGGAACGGGATGACTTCGTTTTCGCACTGAAACTCGCCGATGTGGAGCAGCCGTTACGAGAATTAGTGGGCGAGGCGAAATATGAAGCCTTGGTTGGACCCGCGTTGGCCCAGGCGCAACAAGTCGGGCTTTGCGAATGTCTTTCACAACTGGAGGAGACTGAGGGGGAGGGGAAAAGGGAAGGTTTCTGGGTGGCGCGACTACTACTCACTCCCGAAGAGGACAACCGCGTTAAGTGGCTCCGTGAGGATGGAGAGCTCTCATCCGCCGCTTTTGCCCGTGTTCCTTCGTTTCGGTCGATGTACGTCGCGCACCACGCCGGTGAAAAACATCGACTTGAACTTCGACAATTTGAGAGTATCGAGGCACGCATGACGGAAAACGGTGTGGATTGGGGCATGTGTGACGCCGCTGCCGTCTATTCTTTTGCGATTTATAGCAGTGAGCTTAGACCGTATCTTTGTCATGTTCTGAGAGACGTACTGGTTGAATATAGGAAGGATTCATCCAATAGCGAGGTGGAAAAATTAGCAAAGGTCAACCTACGACACGTGCTTGGGGCCATACTGCTTTTGCAATGTTTAAAGCAGCTGAAGCGTGAGGCCGATGAAGTTGCTGGTCATGTGGTGACACCTCCCACTTACTTATTTGTCGCCGCCGAAAAACTTTTTTCTCTTGCTACGGCATTGCCGAAAACGGGTGATTTGGCTCATGTTTTGAACGTTCTAGCTGGTATTTGTCGTCAAAGTGTCTTGTCCTTGGCAGCCACATATATCGTTCCCGCGGATAGCCCAGAGCTAACGGAATTTACGCTCTGGCTGCTGAAGGAGGTTCCCAACTCCTCCGTGTGCCATGATCATTTCCGTCGGGTGGTTCAGCACAGCCAGGCGGATGCAATTATTCTCCTGGAAAAAGGCGGTCTTCTGTCGGCAAAGTTCACCGATCTTCGTGTCGTGATGACGATCATCCTGCCACTCCTTGACAGTAGCGGCCATGAGGAGTTTTTCTTTCTTGTCATTCGTGAAGTGCTGATGGGAATGGAGGAACGTCTCCGTCGCGGCGCACACTCCTTCTCCAAAGATGAGTTGGGCTTTGTGGCTGCCCTTGGTGCACGTCTTTTTGAGACGCAACAGCAGAAAAATATTCCTTTGCATCACGGCACAGGAAGCTGCGAAAGTACGGCGCGTGGGCAACTGGAGGAGCTGCAGGTGATGGACGGAAGCCCGTGGGCATTGGTGACATTCTCGTACAGAAGTCTGAAGGAAATCCTGAGAGCACTCGTTCGCGATCACCGGCGGCTGAAAAGGCAAGTTCAGGCCCAGATGCGTAATATTGTGGAGGCCGTGACATCTGATGCACCAAACGATGATAATCGGGGTTACTCGCCTCGTGAGGGGGATAAGGCTGCCCCTGCTAGTGCCTCTCCTCCCACCACCTTTTCCTCTGCTGAGGAGGGTCGAAATGCCGCCGCCACCACCGCCACTGCTGCCGCTGTTGACCGCGGGAATTTTAACAGTGGCTGTGGTGGGGGCACGATGAGGCCTCTGCGACTGTCCACACCAGCTCCCATTCGGGAGCGCTTCTTAGCCTTTGTTGAGGAGTTGATCAAGGCACTTGTTGACGAGACTGGGGCAAACCAACAAAGCTGCAAGGTTGTCAGCGATGAGCTCTTTGCTTTTGTGGAACAACATGTGCCGTTGCCCAACATCCAGGACGAGTACCGTCGAAAACTGTTTCTTCTTGTAAATGTTTTTACTGAGGGGAAGTTTGGGAAAGAAGAGAGTAACGCCGGTAACGACAGTGACGGTGACACAGGTGAAAACAGTGACGAAATTCCGGCGGAGTTGCGCCTTCTTGTGACATCACTTCCCCTCACCCTATCGCCATGGGCGAGTGTCATGATTCTGCGCGAGGTGCTGAGCGAGTCGGCGGGCAATAACCCAAGGTACACATATGTTCTTAATGCAGCCATTGATCTTCAACTCCCCATCTCCACAACGCGTTCGCGGATGCAACGACGCTCAACATGTGGAGATTCCTCAGTTCACAGGCGGATAAGCTCACATTTAAGGAGCAGGTGAGGATGAAGCAACGCTGTTTTTTCAATTTGCCTCTCTCGTATATTTTGTCATCCTACTGGTCTCTTCTAACGTGGCTTTCTTTGTTGGCAATCTTTGGATTGAATGTCGTGGGGATGGACTTTGAGTCACAGTATGTCGCCACGCGCCTCTTTAAGGAGTTTGCACCGCCGGATGAGGTTTTGCCGCCCGTGACTGAGGCGTGGAACAAAGAAGGGGCGGAGGAACTGGCATCCATGTACTTTGATGACTCTGGCCCGGGCGGCAACGGCATTCATCATCAGAAGCGGCGGCGGAGTTCATCGGAGTTATTGTTGTCCTCCGCGTCGTATATTTTTCTCGGGGAGGATGACCAGCGCCGCCCCATGACAATCGTATCCATCAGCAGCAGAGGGACTCAAAGCGCCGTGGAACGTGCCACGGAGGAGCTTGCCTGCGCATCTGCCGTACTGCGGGAAATGTCGCTGCAACTCCCCTTTCCTTTTTTTCTGCAAGTGGAGAAGGAACTTCCTGTGGAGCTCATTATTTCCCGTGTGGCGGAGCGCATACGACGCGTCTCCTTCAACAACGCTTGGTTTGTCAGTCGTGTCATTTTCAGGACATTCCCGCTGGGCCGCTACCACACGGAATATACTCTGGTTTCGCACACATGTGCACAGGCCAACCTGACGCGTCGCCGAATGACATTTTTGCTTTACGTTAACCAGGGCGTGACACTTTCTCCGCAGTTGCTCTTCCGTCTCCGTGAAAGTGTTTTGGCACAGAAGGGGAACCTCGTCGTTGTGGCACACGAGGACAGCCTGAAGAAGGGTGGCGCCACGCCCGAAGTTATTTCTGAACTCACGGATGGTGGTTCTGTTCGCTTCATTCCGTACAATAGGCAGTGGGCGACGCTTGCAGTGCATGGAGCCCCACCACCCAGAACGATTGAAAAATATTTTGCGGAACCTTTGTCGCGGTGGAGGGAGATGGTGTCTAGGTGCGCCGCAGACTTTTTTCTATTGCTGCGGATGCTGAACCGACATGTTGCACAAAACGGGGTAAGAGAATGGCGGCCCACTCTTTACGTGGGGCAAGCAGTGTTTCCCCATGCTCTGCAAGGGGAGGAGGAGGAGGAGAGGGGTCAGGATTGAGAGCGTCTGCGTGAGAGCAATTTGCGGAAGCCACTTGCGCGTCTGCGTGGGGCTCTGACGAATTAAAACGACCACTGTTTTGGATTGTTTGTTGTGCCGCTTCTTCCTGTTCCGTTTTTTTTTTTTTTTTTTTTTTTTTTGCGTGTGTGTTTGTACGTGGGCTGGTGCGGGAGTGGGGACATTGTGGGCGCTGCCAAACAACACACGCCGCTTCTCTTTTTTTTTTTTTTTTATCTCTCATTTTGTGTTGCTGCAAGCAACACGCTCAAGCAGGCGGTGAAAACATTATAGGAACACGCAAAAAGAGAGGCAACATCAACCAAGCGAGCAGGCGGAGCGGAAAGGGGGAGCATAAACGGAGAAGAACAGGCAATGTACTGCTGCTTCTGCGTCTCCACGTCGTCACTTGGCATCGTTGAGAGCTGCGGGAAGTTTCAGCGCATAGCCAACCCAGGCTGCCAGTGCCTCATTCCGTGCGTCGAGACGGTGCGGGGGCGCGTGACTTTGAAGCTGCAATATGCCTCCGTTAATGTCGAGACGAAGACAAAAGACAATGCTCTGGTTCTCATCACGGCATGCCTCCACTACCGTGTCTTGCCGGAGGAGGCGACCAACGCCTTTTATCGCTTTGCGAACCCGGAGAAGCAGATTGGGAGCTTCGCCGCCAACGTGATCCGCGGCGAGGTGCCAAAGTACACGCTGGACGAGGTTTTTGTTGCGTCGAGGAACATCAAGCATGCGGTTGAGGAGGAGTTAAAGGAGCGCCTCAGTCAATACGGCTTTGCGCTTGAGGCAACGCTGGTGACTCAGATTGAGCCGAGCACCGAACTCCAGCAGGCCATTGCGCAGACCCAACTTAATGCCTACCGCCGGACTGCCGCGGAGCACCAGGCCGAACTGGAGAAAATCGTCAAAATTAAGGATGCGGAGGCGGAATTTGAGGAGAAGCGTCTTGCTGGCGTTGGGCTGGCGGAGGAGCGCAGGGCCATCATGGAAGGGCTGCAGAGCAGCATTGAGTCGTTTGTCGATGGCGTGCCGGGCGTCGGCGCACGCGATGTGGTGCAATTGTTGCTCATGAACCAGTACTTTGACTCGCTGAAGGAGGTGGGAAGTACGGGGAGGAACAAAGTAGTCCTGCTTCCACCAAGCGGTGGCCAATCGGTCCTGACGGATTTGCTGGCGGCACAGATGACCAATAAATCCATGGTCTGAGAAAAGGGCTCTTTGATGGTACTGGGCAATTCATTTATTATTTTTTAGGGAGAGGTGGGCCGTAGAAGGTTTATTGCTTTTTTTCTGTCATGCGCCGTTGCCCACTTGTTGTATTTTTTTTATCGTTTCTTTTGACCACGACATTTTTCTGCATTGTTGATCGTTAGACGATCACTTTGCCTCGAGCTGTGGGGTGAGTGGCGCGTCCGTTGGCGGATCCGGTATGAGTGACTCTGTTATTTTTTACATCTCATTTTTGCTATTTTTTTTTATTTGGCAACCTCCCTGACGTGTGTTCGCAGGCGTTGGGCAGCCTGAAGGACGACGAGGCGAGGGAAAGAAATACCGGCTAGCAAAGAAAAACCCACTTAAAAAAAAAAATATATTTACTCCTGTGGTCTCGGAGATGAAGTTGCCGCCGTGCCAATTTGACGCTCTTTTTTCGCCCTTTGCTGTTATTTCCCTGCTGGATACACGCACGGCCAGCAAGCGCGTATGCAATAGAGCCACCGAGGGATCCCGAACCCTCTGACTCACCCGTGCGAGTTTACCGGATCACTTTTTTTTTTTTTTTTTGGGTGGGCGAGCGCAGGGAGGTTATACGTCAAATACAAAAAATAAGGTGACAGATCCGTTTAAAACAACAACAACAACAACAACAAAGAACGAAAGGAAAAGAAAAAAAAACTTGGCAGGCGGCAGATGGCGACCATCCAGAAGCTTGCGGAGCGGCTTGAGTCCGACGTACCGCTGCGGGTGGATGAGATGACGTTTTGGTCCCGGGAGAGTGACATCGGCCGCGCAAAAGTCTTTTACGGCCCCAGCCTGGAGGAGGCGAAGCGGTGCGCACAACGCATCTCAGACAAGCTGGTCACGAAGTACCTGAACAACCCCAACACGAATGAGGTGCCACTGGATCACAAGTCGCGTGTGTGTCTCATCCTGAATAACCTTGCTCTTCACAAGCCCATCCGGGGCTGCATCTTTGATGTATTGGACAAGCTGGAGGGCATTTTTGAGGAATCGATAAAGGAGGATGGAACGTTGCCGTTTAATCCCGATCTGGGACGCATGACGGAGCATGTAGCCGTGCTTCTCATGCGTGTGACCGGATACAAGCTGAAGGCTGTGAATGTGCTTGAGTTTACGGACGGGAACGCACAATTTTCTGTGCAGCTTATGCTCGCTATATTGCTGAAAGAACCTGCGTACGAATTTGGACTTCGAGGTAATTGCATAACCATCATTCTTGGCTTCACGCAACCTCAGGCTTTTTTTGATTCCTCAAAAGGAGTAGAGGAGGCCTCTTGCCTTTTATTTACGGAGAAGGTCGACTCCCTGTTGGCCTTAATGCTTCGACTGAGAGCCGTTCAAGTCATCAGTGATGTCTTGACCGAGCAACTGGACAGTACGAACGTGATGACTCCACTGCTCCATGTGGCGACATGCAGTGTCATGCGTTGTGTCATGAATATATTCCGTTTTTCATCCACAAAGTCAACGCAGTGGCGACAACACATTCTACTTTCCACCACCTTACTGGATCATTCTGTGACGTTGTACCTTCTCATGCAGTGCGAGGCCTTGCAAAAGAGTTTGGAGGGAGCGAGCCCGGATCTTAGCGTTGAAATGCTACGCGGAATGTCACTAGGATTTAAATTTGCTTCTTTGTGCACCTTTCGTATGCACCGCCATGCTAGAAGGGTGCGTCTGTTCTGTCCTTACCTGCATGACATGTTACAGTTTTCAATTCGCCACGTGAGACAAGATAACCCGGCGTCTGGTGTTCTCATGCGCCTGTATGTGGACATGTTCCACCTCATGGCCAACATAGATGCTCTTGGCGGGGAGAAAGATCTCTCCATTGAGGAAATCCCTCAACAATTGCTGAGCGAGGCCCTCTTGAAAACAACCGAGGCTTTCTTGCAGCGGGAGATTGCCCCGGGCGGGCTGGCATGGGCGCGGGCGTGGCACACTGCTCTGAAGACAGTGGAGGCGGACACACTTGTCGACCGCAGCACCCACACTTTTACCACACTGGAGAAGCTCTTTGGCGATTTGGAGCCACGCGTGGCGGCGCACCAGCCGCTGCCGTCTCCCGCCCCTGTTGCTGCGGGAGGAAGGCATCGCATCCTGGGCGAGATGCCCCCGCTACGTTCAAAGACAGCCGAAGTGAAGGTGCCCGTTGAAAGTGCCGCGGCCCCAGTGGACATGAAACAGCACATCGAGGTGGTTCGGAAGGACGTCATTGAAGGTGTTGATCCCATCCTGCTGTGCGCCCTCACCGGCAATGTGATGAAGAGACCTGTTGTTTCGCCGTATGGCCACACGTTCGAGCAGGAGGCGTTACTCGCGTGGCTCGAGCAGAACGGCTCCGTGTGCCCCATCACAGGGAAAACGCTGACGGCGGATTCACTGAGACCCAACAAGGAGGTGGCGGCGCTCATCATGAAGCGGGTGATTCAAGAGAGCATGAGCACATACAATCAGGAAAACGAGGCCGATCTCTACGACTTTTAGTGGACAGGAGTCAACATTTGCATTTGTGGGAAGTGGGAGAAAACAAGGCAAAACACACACACAAAAAAAAAAAAAAGGAGTGAAAATATGAGGATTTGCATATACATATATATATATAGATGAAGGAAGGAAGTAATTTTCCGCGACAGGCTAAGTACGCTCCGTAATAAAGCACGAAATCAGTCGAACCAATCAACTAGAAAAAGGGAAAAGCAAAGAAGAAGTTGGAATCAAAAGTATGAGAATTAACGCGGGGTTATTTGAAGCCTTGTCGCCATTAAAGGTTTAACGGTAACGGCATGTTGCCAGGAAAGGGGAAGAAAGAACAGAGAAGTAAAAGAAAGGGCGGGATTCTTTATTGCTCTGGCGCGGCGGGAGGAGGAAGTGTGTGTGTGTGTGTGTGGCGGATAGAAGATTTAGCGCAAGTGAGGGAGTGGGTGAGTAAGGAATCAGGCCGCAAAATGCGGGAATGAGCTTTATACATGTAGGGAGCCGAAGCAACAGAAGAAAAAAGAGAATAATAATAATAATAATAATCGGGGTGACTTCTCTGTATCCTTCCAAACGAGGCAAGGAGCACAAAAGGAAACGAAGATAAGAGAAGAAGTGTGGGAGAGGGAGAGAGAGAGAGAAGTCAAGCTGCAGGGCGGGAGCAGCAGTAAAAAGGGGAATACGCGCCTCTGAGTGTGTGGGGGTGGGCATAAAACACTGCGGATGACACTGGAGGGTCTCCTTCCTTTTCTGGTGCCTACACCCGCGCTTCTCATGTTTACTCCGAAGTAATTCTTCGCCCACTTTATATATATTTTTTTGGTTCTTGTTTTTCTCTTGACTTTTTTATTTATTTTTACTTCTTTTCTCTGCATTTCTTCCAATGCATCTTGTGGGCGTTTGTTTGACCCATTGTTTTTGTCATTCCTTTCAAAAAATTATATATATATTTATTTTTTTAACCTCTCTATGCCTCGTAACAGGGAAGCACCCACAATTGATGTGGACGGAGAACTCGGGGGCATCTTCGGAGGGGTTTATCACCCCTACGGCCCGCGTGTATAGTAATTACATTATATATATATATATATATATATGTGTATGTATTTGTATGTGTTGTATTTGTTTTCTATGAGGTGCGTTGTAAATTTGTTGCTTTGACTTTTCTTAACAAAAAAAAAAGTTTTTTTTTTTTTCTTTTTTTTCTTCTGCTGTTCTCACTCAGTTGGCGCTGTTGTCGTGATCGTCTTTCTTTATTTCTTTCCTTTTTTCTTTTTTTTTTTTTGCGTGTGCGGCTCTGTTCGCTCGCTCTCCCTCTCTTTTTGTGGCTGGCGGGGGTAGTTTGTGTGCGTTTGTGTCTGCTCGACTGAGTGGCGTGGGGGAGTCTCCGGTGCTGCTTTGGACTCACACATGTCGGCTGCTCCGGGTGGGGGCGGCAGGAGCGGCGGCCATGCGGAAGATGGCGATGGGGGATTTGGGGGAAACCCGAAAGATCACGTGAGGGCGGCGGCCGACATGTCATCGTGGATGAGGAATGCAGTGGACGAGGCGCGGCGGGACCCGTCGAAGGAGGTGGGGATCTCCGCGGAGGAGCTTCAGCAGCGTCGCAAAATGGCGTCAAACCCGCGCGCGTTTGTGAGCGAGCAAACGAGCCGGGCATTTGAGGTCAAAAGTTCGGCGCGGGCGCAGCAGATCATGAACAAGGGTCTCCTTGAACGGCAGCGCGAGACGCGGAACAAAGAGGTGCTGAAGAAGATGACGATTCTGCGCCGTATACAGGTGGGGACGTTTTTCCTTGGCATTGGCGTGGCGTGGTGGATGGGCGTTGAGTACTTGCTGCCGCACTACGCCGCCGTGCAGGAGCGGAACCGTCTTCTGCAGCTGCGGTGCGAGATGGCGCAGCGGAAGCGGGAGGAGGTGGAGGCGCAGAGGAGACAACAACAGTAGTGGCGGTAAAGCGTTGAAAGACGGAGGGGTGCTCTCGCGGCCCCCATTCTGTTGGCGAAGAGGCAAGTTTCTTCTTTTTCTCTCTTTCTCTCTGTCTGTGGCTTCATTCCCCGCACGTATTTCGCCGTGCCGACTGCTTGCAGCCGAGAAAACTAAAAGAATTTTTTTTTTCTTTTTTACGTTCTTTTATTGTTTGCCCACCCCCCGCATCTCTGTGCCCGCTGTCTTCTCTCTTCATTGCAATGTGACGCCACCAGAGCGAGCGACTGTGGCAAGTCAACAGGCGTCATCAGCGTCATCTCGGTGTCGACAGGGGGACGGCAGGTGGACCAAAGCTAGGAGGAAAACAAACAAACAAACAAACAAAAAAGAACGAACACAACAATACAAGGCAAGGAACCGAAGGGGGCGAGGAGGCAATTTATCTGTCCGAGTGCCCACTGTTATTTGTTACACTCAAGCGTAGGAGTAAAGGCAATAACAACAATAAAATCGGGACCAAAAACAACAACAATAACAACACAATAAAGCAATAACGCAATAACAAACGTGATGGCACGCCACCACATTATTCAGGCGATGCTTATTGCACTTATTGTGCTGGGCGTTGCGGTGACTGGGGTCACGGTGAAGGATGATGGGAGCGTGGAGAAGGGGAGGCCAATCTCATTCCAGGCTGAGGTGAGCAAGATGCTTGACATTCTTATTAATTCTCTATACACGAACCGCGCTGTCTTTCTGCGCGAGTTGATTTCTAACGGCAGCGACGCCCTCGATAAGATCCGTATGCTCTACCTCACGGCACCGAAGGAGCCGAAGAACAAAGACGGTGAGGTGCCGGCGTTGGAAATGCGGGTGATAATTGACAATGAGCGCAAGACTCTCACTTTGCGGGACGGCGGCATTGGTATGACGAAGGCGGAGCTGGAGGAGCACCTCGGCTCCCTTGGCACCTCCGGCACGAAGCGGTTCATGGAGAAGCTGAAGGAAACGAAGGATGATAGTCTCATTGGACAGTTTGGTGTTGGCTTCTACTCCGCCTTCCTCGTTGCCGACCGCGTGCGGGTGGCTTCGAAGAGCGATGACAGTGACGTGCAGTGGGTGTGGGAGTCCGCTGGCGACGGGCAATATTACATATACGAGGACGAACGTGGCAACACGCTTGGCCGTGGGACGGAGATCACACTTGAGATGAAGCCCGACGCATTGGAATTTCTTAGCACGGATAACGTGAGGGATATTGTGCACCAATACAGC